ACTACATGATTGGTGTAATTTCCGTCTGACCTTGAACAGTCTCGTACGTTCCTTCTTCACTTTATATACCCTATTAGAATACTTCAGTACTCTTTTCCCCTGCCATCCTGACTTGGAGACAGGGGTCGAGAACAGTTGCTCGACGGGCGACATGGAAAGTTCAAAACATTTACCTCTGGTGTTGCAAGGGGAAAACACGAGCAAGATGACTGGAAGATCGAGGTTAACAGATCAGCCCGACATGAGGTGCAAGGAACGGAACATAATTCAGACCACTGCATACCTATGATAGCAGACCTAGCAGACAGCTATGTAGAGGTCAGGTCAAGTAAACATGGCCGAGATATCACCACTGACGACGAGGAATGTCGACGTGGGGCTTCAGCTCGGCATGTGAAGTGAAGATTTGAACATAAACTTGTCTCGAGGCAAAATAGTAACCCTCAGGTAAACATGAGTGGGCAGGGCAAGATGTTCAACATAGAGGAACCACGAAGCTATTTTTTGGCTACTTCTCGGTCATCATTTGAGATAACTGAGGCCAGAACGTGAACCCAAATGCTACTTAAAGTGGAAGAGCTCAGACGTGGTAAGTAGATTTTTGTGGCAGGGGCTTATTGTAGGGCCGCCCAATGGCAAGGGTCCATCAGCTCAAGTTTCTAACTGAATTCTTCCTTAGTGGTGAATGAAGTGATTAAGCACACAACGCACCGTATAGGTGTTTCATAACTACACAATAAGAAACTAAAAACGCTTGTAGTTGTTTTAGTGAAGTAAAACGTATGTGAAAAGGTTGCGCAAAGGATAAAAAGACTGGAAAGGAAGCCTATAGACCCAGAAAACTATTAGAACAACTCATAATGGTTAACATAATCCAAGAAGCGTATGAAAAGCGTAAATCCAACCTACTGAAAATTTGCAAGAGGTTTTATTATTATAAATACCTTCCCTCAGGCGGCTCAACGATAACTCCCTACAGTTTTTGCTAAATAAAAAAATTAACGTTTTGGGAGGCAAATTTACCCGGGTCCTGATGGGAATGCGGCAGAATGACGACCTCGAGAGTGCGATTCTGCCATTGGTTTATGTCGTAGGTCACTTCCCAGCCTTGTCGCCACTTGGGACTGTCAGTATTTTCAAACTTCAACTCCTCGTACACTTGGGATATCTGCGGAGGTGGGGGGGG